CCCCCCCCCCCCCCCCTTTTTCCCTGCAGCGCTTTGTGACATAACATTGGATTTGCTTGATGAATTGGGCCGCAACGTATCGTTACTGATGACAGCACTCTACTGCACGCCAGTCCATTTGCCGTTTCGTACGACGAGTACAAAGCGACATGAGACCATAGATATGCTTCTGGTTCATTCATGCATATGATTGGATATTAACATAGTGGTGTCGGTGACGACCCATGGAACAGGGATGAGTCAGTTTCCACACTTCGGATGCCTCGAAAAAGAGAACGTGTGCCCCCTATTCATTGCAGTGGACATGCCACGTTTTTATGTTGAACGCAACCCCCGGTACCGTTCGGGATGCAACACACACATATTGCATGTAACCATTCTTTCATTTTTGTCGTAGGAAGACTGGTGCCGTCTTCTTTTAATTCGAAAATACACCAAGAAATACTATTGTACCCGTTCGACACAGTGCCCCAATCGAAGGGATGTGTTCAAGTCTTCCCAGCGTTCCCTAACCAGCAGCCGGATGTTACGTGTACAACAGCGCCGACTCTCGACCGCAACAACATCGACAAATTCACACTCCGGGGGTCAGTTGCCGCAGCAGCTAAGGCTACGAAGCGGTGGAACGTCTTGTATTATGAATGCACTCGGGGATTTTGAGACTTGTCGGTCAACGTCCGCCCCTGCCCTGCCGCCTGCAGGGGGGGAGCTGTACGACTAGAAAAGAACACGTGGTGCGGTGATATCTCTCACTTGGTAAACTACTAACGTGTTTTGATTGGATGTTTAGAAGCCGAAACCAAACCATTAGACTGGGTTGTCAGCGCTGACTAGTCCATTGGTGTATCCATTGAAGGGTGCCAACGAGAACACGGCGGCTTCCGAAGTATCCCCATCCGAAAGTGGCTTGTCCCCCGAGTGTGTCGACAATGATTTTACGGGCCCTCACGGTCGTTAGCCGATGGCGCTGTCGATGCCAACCGAAAAAAAAAAAAAACTCTCGTTGCGTGATTTGTCCTGCTGTCAAATGGCCCGCAAACCTATCAAAAAAAATAGTCTGCCGGTTGGCACGGTTGACGGGGTTGAAGGAACACGTGCACTCGCCCGCGGATAATTTTTTCAAGCGATGTCGTCGCGTACCAACAACTGAACCGTTGGGGTGGATGTACGGCGCGTGAGGGAGTTGTATTTCGATTGGTCGGCCATAGGATGCTATGTAACTCAACCATCACGCACGAATGCACACAATCGAATGCGAAAGGTAATAACGTTTGGGGGAGGACCAGGGGTATACGGGACTGAACTCGTAAGCTATTACAGGGCTGGACCGTTAGTTGGGTAAGTAGACTGGTGTACGACATCGCGATCAACCGCTTGCTCATTTTCAACATGGGGATACGCCAAAAAATCGAAAGTAAAAGAAGTCCCATCCATCGTGCAGCAGACTTGAGTCTGCAAGGTTGGTTGTAAAATCTTCCCCACAACGCAGAGGCAGGCACAAAGCCTGCGAAACTCGGGACGGCCGTCACTACAGCAGTTGTCTCGTGCGCGAAAGGCGAGAGGCTTTGCATCGTTCATCGTTCCCAAAAGACGCACCCGTTCAGTTTGGCAACCATTTGCAAGAGCGATGCGGTCGATTTGGGGCGAAAGTCCCGCCGCTGAAGACTACCGACACTGCTCAAGGTCAAGAGGCAGCAGCGACCACCACCAGCATCAACGTAGTAGGGCGCAACACTTTAGCTGCAACCTCAAGTTGGACGCGGACAGTAGCAGCAGTCATGCACCGCAGTGCCCGGCTCTCAACGCCGCTGGTCGCTACAGCAGTAGCAAGGCCGGGTCCTCACTCGAGCAAAACTTCTTACTTCGTACATCGGCGAATACCTCGTCTCCGTCTTTTGTTCACCTGCAGCGTGGAGAGGTTAGCGGCCAGCGAATTCGACAAGTCGATCTGACCGATCAGTGACTGCGGCGCAGCCATATTTTCGCCTTTCTCTGCTCACTCTGCTCTCTGTCCGCTGCGGCGCCTGCTGTTGTTTCTCTGTCCTTGCTTGCCAGGGTTGCGGGTCCGAAGAGTCTTCACAGAAGGAAATATTGCATACCCTAAAGAAAATATCTCTCAAGATGCCCCCGAGGAGCGGTTTGAACCGTTGCCCTGGGTGGTGCAGAGCAGCAGTGTGAGTGTGGTGTGTCGTGGACCGGGGAAGCTTCCCGGAGCGATGTCTACCATACCGACAGACTCGGAGCTGGAGGTTGCAGTGAGAGAGATTCTCCGCGTCGCGAACGTTGAACAGACGTCGCTCAAAATCATCCGGAAGAAGCTTGAAACCCGTTTTTCGGTGAGTACACCCACTCGTCTGCAACAGCAGTACAACACGGCACTGCTGTCACAGCAGTAGTCGATACCGACTCTCGATGGTCGTGTGCGTAGCATGTCGGCTTGTTGCTGCTGTTTTCTCCTGGACTCCATCAAATATATGTCGGTGTAGTGTTTTTGTTGGACAGCCGTTTCTGGCACTACTGCAAATTTATCCGATAGCACAACAAGTTCTAGACTAGTCTACATTGTAGAGCCTTTCTTGGAGTATATTTTGATCCCGTGCAGACGGGAACATGAAACCTCTCGCAGAGGCAAATGAGGTAGTTGTTGTTGTCGTCGAATGGCAGTTGAGGCACAGCCCTTGATTTTCTCGGAAAGCTTATTCGCGGTCGTGTCGCGAATCTACAGCAGTGGCGATCAAAAGTGACGGCAGTTTTCTGGATGTGACACTCTACCAAACCTGAAAGTCCGTGTGCCAGTGATCGTCGCTGGCGAAAGGCCACGCATTTCAAGTGTTGGTCAAATAACATCCGAGTGCGAGTTGGATCGAACGTTCGTGACTGTTGGGTTGCGTCATGAGCCGGAGGTATACGACCGTTTTCACGAGGAGGAACGGTTGCTCGACCTGCGTGCCCTTGTGACGGATTAGTGAGTGACAGATTTTACGATTCCCAAATAAAGCAGACACCCTACACCGTGACTTGGGTTATTTACGGTAGCAGTCTTGTTTGACACAAAATTGTCGAACGCCACCCAGATCCCATGTCTCATCCAGTGTCGCATATGGTTAATCGGCTTTGGCTAGCCCACCCAGAAAGCAGCTCGTTATCATACTGGGAAATTGATCGATGATCTTGTTTCTAGTGACTTCTATCACCCAGCGTGCATCTGGTGCCATCAAACTGTCACTCCTGCTTGATGGTACCAGATGCACGCTGGGGAAAAGAATCAAGATCACCGATCGATTTCCCAGTATGATGGCTAGCTGCTTCCCGGGTAGTCTAACCAATGCCGTTTCACCATATGCGACACTGAATGAGAAGTGGGTCGGTACTGCTGCGAGAAAACAGCTCAGTGGTCCTGTTCGCCCAACTGCCCCGCCATGAGTCATAGGAGGAGCTTGAAGGCTTCTCCTCCGCTCGTCCTCTGTTTGAGCTGGGTTTCTTCGTGTTTGAAGAATCCGTCAATGACAGAGTAGAGATCAGCGCTCGGAGGGGAGTTGAGGAAATGACGTTGGTGAGTTGCTAGCCAGGTACCCAGGTGTCGGAATTGTCGAAGTTGACGAGGGGATCTGCCTGCATCAGGATGTCGTGCATAGCTCGTTTGGTGGACTCCTAGAGTTGCCCTTGCGCGTTGATGCCAAGAGTTGCCCTAACGCGTCGGTGCCAGCGCGGCCTGTAAGCTAGAGGAAGCTGGGGCCTAGTATTTTAGGCGTGCTTGAGGTCGATAGTGGCGTACTTGGCAGCGATCGATCGGACTCGCGCTCGCTCTACTTTGACGGTTTTTGTTCGTCGATGGCATGCCGTCGTTGTACAGCTCTTGTTGACGAGGCGGGCAAGTCGTGCGCTATTGGATCGTGCTACGGTTGCAAGAGGAGGAATTACTTGCCCTTTGTTGTCGTTGTCGCCGTCTTCTTTGTCGGGAGTAGGTATCTTAGTCGAACTGTCCGCCGTGTGTGTTTGTCCTTGCGAGGGACGAGCGCCCTGGGGGGGGGGGGGGGG